GTCTAGTCTATAGTCTAGTCTATAGTCTAGTCTATAGTCTAGTCTATAGTCTAGTCTATAGTCTAGTCTATAGTCTAGTCTATAGTCTAGTCTATAGTCTAGTCTATAGTCTAGTCTATAGTCTAGTCTATAGTCTAGTCTATAGTCTAGTCTATAGTCTAGTCTATAGTCTAGTCTATAGTCTAGTCTATAGTCTAGTCTATAGTCTAGTCTATAGTCTAGTCTATAGTCTAGTCTATAGTCTAGTCTATAGTCTAGTCTATAGTCTAGTCTATAGTCTAGTCTATAGTCTAGTCTATAGTCTAGTCTATAGTCTAGTCTATAGTCTAGTCTATAGTCTAGTCTATAGTCTAGTCTATAGTCTAGTCTATAGTCTAGTCTATAGTCTAGTCTATAGTCTAGTCTATAGTCTAGTCTATAGTCTAGTCTATAGTCTAGTCTATAGTCTAGTCTATAGTCTAGTCTATAGTCTAGTCTATAGTCTAGTCTATAGTCTAGTCTATAGTCTAGTCTATAGTCTAGTCTATAGTCTAGTCTATAGTCTAGTCTATAGTCTAGTCTATAGTCTAGTCTATAGTCCAGTCTATAGTCTAGTCTATAGTCTAGTCTATAGTCTAGTCTATAGTCTAGTCTATAGTCTAGTCTATAGTCTAGTCTATAGTCTAGTCTATAGTCTAGTCTATAGTCTAGTCTATAGTCTAGTCTATAGTCTAGGATATAGTCTAGTCTATAGTCTAGTCTATAGTCTAGTCTATAGTCCAGTCTATAGTCTAGTCTATAGTCTAGTCTATAGTCTAGTCTATAGTCTAGTCTATAGTCTAGTCTATAGTCTATTCTATAGTCTAGTCTATAGTCTAGTCTATAGTCTAGTCTATAGTCTAGTCTATAGTCTAGTCTATAGTCTAGTCTATAGTCTAGTCTATAGTCTAGTCTATAGTCTACTCTATAGTCTAGTCTAGTCTATAGTCTACTCTATAGTCTAGTCTATAGTCTAGTAGTCTAGTCTATAGGTAGTCTATCTAGTCTATAGTCTATAGTCAATATACAGTCTAGTCTATAGTCTAATATACAGTCCTAGCCTATAGTTTAGTCTATAGTCTAGTTTATAGTCTAGTCTAGTATATAGTCTGGTCTATAGTCTAGTCTATAGTGCAGAAAACTTCTGCAATCAATTTCTAAAATTTTCCTGGAAAATTCTTATATTTAAGTTGTTACTTTACATCAGATAACACAGAATATTTGTTTGACTTTTAATTAAATTCAAAATATTAATAAACAATATTTGTTTAACACAAATATAATTTCATAAAGCATACACAAAGGCTATTGTTATTGTTGGGCAAGTAAATGGCAACTTTTGATTACAATCTCTGTTCTCACAATTAAACACAAACATTAATCCTTTGCAGCACAAGATAGAAACTGATCATATTATCAAATTGTTTTTGGCAACAGCAAATATTTATTTAATCATAATATCCTTTAACAGAAAACTAACAACTTCTTCTTTGAATTTTGAAAATTATTTAGAATTATAATAAAATTACAAGTTTCAAATTTAAACAAATAAATGAACCATCACACACACATCCAATATAAATATAGCAAAAATGTTTAATAAACTTTATTGTTTAAAATAATATTATTAAATATTCAATAACACTAGCACAAAGATAAAGAGACACACACATACATACACAGCATATTTAAAACTATATAAATATTTTAAAAACACATTATTTAGTTTAGTTTTGGGTGTTTTGTATCTGTAGTATGTATATTAAAAACAATATTTACCCAAAAATTTGTCAAAATGGTTTGAGTAGAAAAAGGAAACTTTAAATTACAATTTGATTTACACAAATACAGTTGGGTATTATAGAATGAAACACAGAGATGTATGTATGTACGTTTGTATTTAGGAGATTTCTAGTAACTTTTCTATTTAAGTCATTTAAAGTTGTTTGTTTTTATTAAAAGTTGTATAATAACAACAACAACATAAACAATAACTATATAAACCAACACACACACACAATCAGTTAGTTTGTCACAAGTGTCAAAGGATTTGATTTAAATTTTATATAACAAAAAATGTATATGACACAAGTGTCAGAAACAAAAATATTTAAATACAAATATAAATATAAATATATGCAAAATTAATCAAATAGCAATTTTACAAAAAATTAAAAAATAAATGACAGATTTTTGATAAAACTATAATTTTATTTAAATTTAACAAAAATTAAGTAAATACAGATTGTGTCAATCATTAAAACGATTATATTCAAAAAAAAAAAATAAATTAACTGAAAATATGAAATTTTTTAAAAAATGTTTAATAGGAAACAGTCCCTGATAAGTATACTAGTATCTTGTTTATAGACTATAAACTAGACTAGACTAGACTAGACTATAGACTAGACTATAGACTAGACTATAGACTAGACTATAGACTAGACTATAGACTAGACTATAGACTAGACTATAGACTAGACTATAGACTAGACTATAGACTAGACTATAGACTAGACTATAGACTAGACTATAGACTAGACTATAGACTAGACTATAGACTAGACTATAGACTAGACTATAGACTAGACTATAGACTAGACTATAGACTAGACTATAGCCTAGACTATAGACTACACTATAGACTATAGACTAGACTATAGACTATAGACTAGACTATAGACTATAGACTAGACTATAGACTAGACTATGCACTACACTATAGACTAGACTATAGACTAGACTATAGACTAGACTATAGACTAGACTATAGACTAGACTATAGACTAGACTATAGACTAGACTATAGACTAGACTATAGACTAGACTATAGACTAGACTATAGACTAGACTATAGACTAGACTATAGACTAGACTATAGACTAGACTATAGACTAGACTATAGACTAGACTATAGACTAGACTATAGACTAGACTATAGACTAGACTATAGACTAGACTATAGACTAGACTATAGACTAGACTATAGACTAGACTATAGACTAGACTATAGACTAGACTATAGACTAGACTATAGACTAGACTATAGACTAGACTATAGACTAGACTATAGACTAGACTATAGACTAGACTATAGACTAGACTATAGACTAGACTATAGACTAGACTATAGACTAGACTATAGACTAGACTATAGACTAGACTATAGAACTAGACTATAGACTAGACTATAGACTAGACCAACGGTTCCCAAATGGGGGTCCGCGGACCCTAGTGGTCCGTAGTAAAATCCTAGGGGGTCCGCGAAGACGAACGAAAAAAACCATGAATAAACAATATTCTGCTTTTATATGTATGTATGTACAAATATCTCCCAAATTTTTTGGTGACTTTTTTAATTTTATTTCTTCGGTTGTTTATCAGGAAAGAAGCTAGGCCCTACAAATTTATTGTATAACTTTTATAAAATAAAGTATTGCGTGATTTGTAATTTTATTTCCTGTATATGTACTGAAATAATGGTTTTTATTTCAGACAAATAATACTCTGCCTTACAATTAAATTAGGGATACTGGTACCGGAGTATGAAGTTTAATTCAAAGACAAGCTTATTACAGATTTAAGTTTATCAAATTGTAAGCAAAAGTGTTCTTGTTTGAAAGGACTAAAATTATATATTTCCAAAACAGAGGTGACTCTTTATGTATATCTTTATAAATATTCCAATCCGACGTGATACACAGATTTTAACTTGATTTTGTTGACCAATACATATTATTAAATTAACATCAGAAAATCCATAGCGTTTCGCGTAAATATGTAGCCAAAAACCATGAAGTAAAATAATTCGTTGGTATTTTAAAATTCAAATTTAAGTTCCAAATTCACAGTACTTTAACAAAGAGTTCAAATCATATATTATGCGGATAACGCATTCCGCAACAACATAGAAGAAGTCCAACTTTCTTATATTATTTTCCCGAAAACTTAGCTCACTTACTCAGTTCACCCTTTGCAATCGCAACAAATTTTTGAAACGTGACTCCTTAAGCACATGTGACAATATTTGATAAAGAAACCTTTTCGCTACCTTGAAGAAAAATGAACATGAAAGATCTCACGATCATAAAATTAAACATCATGTTAACATATCAACAAAGAAGTCATTCTATCTTCAAAACATGCAATTGAAAACCTATCTGAAATATTATATATTCGCAAAGTACGGGAATATTTTATAGATATGACATCTCTACATTTATTAGACCTAGGAATTAATGAACTAGGTCAATTTTCGGATGGACAATTATTTAGAACAATAAGATATCAAAATATGTATGTGGGTCCGCGAAATTAAATAAGTTCTTCAAGGGGTCCGCGAAGTAAAAATCGATGGGAACCGCTGGACTAGACTACTAATAGACTAGACTATAGACTAGACTATAGACTAGACTATAGACTAGACTATAGACTAGACTATAGACTAGACTATAGACTAGACTATAGACTAGACTATAGACTAGACTATAGACTACTATAGACTAGACTATAGACTAGACTATAGACTAGACTATAGACTAGACTATAGACTAGACTATAGACTAGACTATAGACTAGACTATAGACTAGACTATAGACTAGACTATAGACTAGACTATAGACTAGACTATAGACTAGACTATAGACTAGACTATAGACTAGACTATAGACTAGACTATAGACTAGACTATAGACTAGACTATAGACTAGACTATAGACTAGACTATAGACTAGACTAGACTATAGACTAGACTATAGACTAGACTATAGACTAGACTATAGACTAGACTATAGACTAGACTATAGACTAGACTATAGACTAGACTATAGACTAGACTATAGACTAGACTATAGACTAGACTATAGACTAGACTATAAACTATACTAGTCTATAGACAGTTTTCTATAAGAAAACTATCTTGGATTAAAATTCTTGAAATTTTAATTTAATTAAAAATTAAACATAAAAATCAATTACTTACTTTTTTATAATAATAAATTCAATTTTCAGCTAATCTGCAAAGAGATGAGATAAAAATTTAATATTAATATTTGTTTTATAATTTAATTAAAATATTTGAAATTTAAAATACTTAGCTTTTAACCCCGACATGCAATAATATTTTTATTAAATCATAATGTGAAAAAAAAATCTTTTAAAAAAATTTTACAGAAAATTATACAATTATAATTATTTAATAATAAAACCACAGAATAGTTAAAAAAAACAATAGCTTTTTATGTAGAAAATTTCACAAAACCAAAAAAAATCTTAAAAAAATAAAATTATTTAGAAAAACTAAAATATTAAGAAAAAACATTAACAAACTTGCATTCAGTTACAAGGTCAAGCGCAGTCAAGCAAAGATTTGAACGAGCAGACATTTAGAAAAAAATAAATAAATAGATAACTTTAAAAATGCAATAGAATTTTAAAACTAAAACACACATTGAATTACAAATCAGGTGGTTAACGCAACAGCTGTTTTTCTTGGCTTTAACTACTAGACAAGTTATGGGAGAAGAGAGAGAAAGAGAGAGGGGCTGCCCATTAAAGCGGCTGCGCAGCCAGCTTGTGTTATGAGTATCTATTAATCTATTAACTTGGCTGTTAGTTAGTTAAACTTGGTTTTAAATTTATTGTGTTTTTGCAAGCTTTACGTTACGAAGTTTAAATAATAATAAAACGTAAAAACATTCAATTTATTTTCTATATGGCTGACGACTGGTCTGCTGGTTTTAACAGAAAAAAAGTGTTTATATAGATAGAGAAGAAAAAAAATTAAGTAATCACTTAGTAGAACAGGTTATTGGTATAAAAAAAAATACAATTAAATAATAATATGTAGAAAAATACAAAAGAAACATGAAATGCTCTACACGTAGAGAAAAATGCAGTGCAATTTTAAACAAAACTTTGAAAGCACAAATTTTGATGTACCAAAAGATTAGAATTTTATGAACAAAAATTAAAAAATTCCAATAGTTTTAGTAAAGAAATGCTTTAAATTTTATTTTAAGACATTTTTCTCAAGTTTTGAAATTTTCGAACTTATGTTCGAATTTTCGAAAATGGTCTAGAAGGCTTAAATTTTCAACAAACTTTGAATTTATTTATTAGTTTTATAAGAACTTGCTTTAGATTCCATTTAAACACATTTCCGAAAAATTCGAAATTTTCGAATTTAAGTTCGAATTTTCGAACATTCTAAAAATTATTAGATTTTTAATAGAAATCTCTAAAAAACTACAAATTGAAAAATAACCAAATTTAATGAAAATTTTTAAGATTTTGCCGCAAAATTAAATTTCGAAATTAACATCGAATTTTCGAAATGTTTAAAATTGCAAATTTTTTGGTAAAAACTCTTTAATAAAGAAAATTTTTAGTCAGAATAACATTTTTAGACAATTTCGAAATTAAGTTCGAATTTTCGAACATTATAAAAATGTTAAAATTTTTATAAAATTCGAAAATTTTAAGTAAAAATCTTATAAATAACTAAATAAACTATAATATAACAAAATTTCTTTTCAACCACATTTTTCTTTCAGTGCTTCTCATAATCATATTTATTTATCTAAATGACTGGCAAATAAAAATTTCAAATTAGCTTGCAAAAAACACAATACAACAACAACAATAACAAAAATTTTAAAAAGAATAATAACTAGACACAAATGTAAACAAGAAACAGCTGAGCTGAAACAACAATTCTCGCCAACCATTAAATAAAAAACCGAAATTCGAAGAAGAAAAAAAGTTTCGAAAAAAAGGCAACACCACAAAATTAAATAAAAAATATTGCCAAACATAAATTAAATTACGCCACTCTGAACCTTTAATAACAGAAATCACCTGCATAACTTAACAAATAATACCGAAATTTTTTATATTGTTTAAACAAACGCAAAATTAGAATAAATTAGTTGAAAAAACAAAGAGCAAAAATAAAAGAAATTTATTTTATTAACCATTTAAATTATAGAAGGCAATTTAAATTTATTTGGAGAAGGTCAACAACATAAAAACAAGGGTTTTTTAGAATAACAAGGACTTGATTTATTTTAAAATATAAATTTATTTTTATTAATGGAAAATCTTATTTTTTCGGTCTATTTAAAGGATTTCTACTTAAAATCAGTAAATTTTTAAAATTTTCGAAAATTCGAACTTAACTTCGAAACATCGCAAATTGTCATTGACCTTGATGAATTCTGCAAATTTGATCAAACTTTCATGGATTTCCATGTTCGAACATAAATTCGTAATTTCGAAAACCGCAAAAATGAAATTCGAGCTAACTAACTAACTAACTAACTAACTAACTAACTAACTAACTAACTAACTAACTAACTAACTAACTAACTAACTAACTAACTAACTAACTAACTAACTAACTAACTACTAACTAACTAACTAACTACTAACTAACTAACTAACTAACTAACTAACTAACTAACTAACTAACTAACTAACTAACTAACTAACTAACTAACTAACTAACTAACTAACTAACTAACTAACTAACTAACTAACTAACTAACTAACTAACTAACTAACTAACTAACTAACTAACTAACTAACTAACTAACTAACTAACTAACTAACTAACTACTAACTAACTAACTAACTAACTAACTAACTAACTAACTAACTAACTAACTAACTAACTAACTAACTAACTAACTAACTAACTAACTAACTAACTAACTAACTAACTAACTAACTAACTAACTAACTAACTAACTAACTAACTAACTAACTAACTAACTAACTAACTAACTAACTAACTAACTAACTAACTAACTAACTAACTAACTAACTAACTAACTAACTAACTAACTAACTAACTAACTAACTAACTAACTAACTAACTAACTAACTAACTAACTAACTAACTAACTAACTAACTAACTAACTAACTAACTAACTACTAACTAACTAACTACTAACTAACTAACTAACTAACTAACTAACTAACTAACTAACTAACTAACTAACTAACTAACTAACTAACTAACTAACTACTAACTAACTACTAACTAACTAACTAACTAACTAACTAACTAACTAACTAACTAACTAACTAACTAACTAACTAACTAACTACTAACTAACTAACTAACTAACTAACTACTAACTAACTAACTAACTAACTAACTAACTAACTAACTAACTACTAACTAACTAACTAACTAACTAACTAACTAACTAACTAACTAACTAACTAACTAACTAACTAACTAACTAACTAACTAACTAACTAACTAACTAACTACTAACTAACTAACTAACTAACTAACTAACTAACTAACTAACTAACTAACTAACACTACTAACTAACTAACTACTACTAACTAACTAACTAACTAACTAACTAACTAACTACTAACTAACTAACTACTAACTAACTAACTAACTAACTAACTAACTACTAACTAACTAACTAACTAACTAACTAACTAACTAACTACTAACTAACTAACTAACTAACTAACTAACTAACTACTAACTAACTAACTAACTAACTAACTAACTAACTAACTAACTAACTACTAACTAACTAACTAACGAACTAACTAACTAACTAACTAACTAACTAACTAACTAACTAACTAACTAACTAACTAACTAACTAACTAACTAACTAACTAACTAACTAACTAACTAACTAACTAACTAACTACTAACTAACTAACTAACTAACTAACTAACTAACTAACTAACTAACTAACTAACTAACTAACTAACTAACTACTAACTAACTAACTAACTAACTAACTACTAACTAACTAACTAGCTAACTAACTAACTAACTAACTAACTAACTAACTAACTAACTAACTAACTAACTAAATTCGAAATTCACATTTAAATTCGAAATTAAAAACAACTCAAAAATTTTATATTTAAAAAAAACTCATGATTTTTAAAATTT